ATGTTAATGTTCCATTCTGTAGCAAGAATGTGACTTATATTTACATTATTACCTAGCTGATCTGCTACTGTTCTCACTGCCTTAAAAGGAGGATACTTGGGGCGTGGGGGAAGGCCAAAAGGAAGGTTGATAGAGCTAACAGCTGGGAAAAAGCAGATCTGGTCAGGCAAGGAGGCTATGATGGATCATGATTTGTCCCCTGTAACAATGAAGCCATGAAAAGTCAGATATTGTTCAAGGACTCTTCCAGCAATCATCACCACTTTCAGCAGCTTTCAAGTGAGCCAGGTCATTGCCACAGGATAGCTTGTATTGCCTATGTAAATGTGACGGGTTCTTAAAGCAGATATTTCAGTCTATCTAAATATTTCCTAGAACATTCACTGCATCTCCCAATGAACACAATTTACCGTTCTTTGCTTGTAACCTACGGGTGGTTTAAGACTAATTGTGTGCTGAACTCACCAAAATTACCAACCCTCCATTCCCTGTCTCCTCCAGACACACACTCTTCCCCGTGTATTTCCCCCTCTCAGAATGGACTCTTTGACACTCCTTTCTCAGCTCCTCCCAGCAAACAGACTCTTGGAACCAAATTAACAGCTGAACTTCAGATGAGGTTATGAGGGCTGAACAGGTGCATCTCTCGTAATCTGGGGCTTGTTAGGTGCTGGTTTGGTCCCTGGTGCCTACAGGAAGCCCTAATTTGTGCCTGGCTGCCAAATGCTCATATAAACCATTTTGGCAGCCAGGGCACAGAAACATCCCAGCCACGCCTCCATTCCTACAAGTCATGCTGACTCTACTCCTACCAGAGAATCCCACTACAGTGGTGGAAGTCCCTGGAAGCATTTAAAATGGCTGTTTTATGCTCCCCTAATTCTTGTTAGTAGCTGGTCCCATCCCTAGTGTAATTTAGTGACATCTCAGAGCTGCTCTGCTTTACCCACAGCTGCTTACAGCTCCAAGGGGTTATTCAGGCAGCTGGTCTACAAGTCAACATGGTCCTGCTTCTTTTCCTTCAAGAAATCCACTACACCATGGGCTGGGGGAGGTGGGCTACAGCTTCTAGGCTGGCTCAGTGAATATTCCATTGTGCTATGGGAATCTCCAGTTATCTGGTTAGACCAGAAGTATAACAACTTTGTTGACGGAGTAGGGTCCAAGTTCCCTTAATTTGATTTCCCCACTTCAGTTTGGATTGAATCCTCAGATTCTGAACTGGAGCAGTGTTGCTCTCTTGCAAATTTACTGCAAGTCTTGGAAAAAAATCAAAACCAAAAACAAACAAAAAAACAACACAGAACTGTTTCTAACTCTCATAAGTATGGAGGAAAATGTGAAAATATGAAGTGCAATCTACAGGCTCCAAAACCAGAAAGCATATTAAGAATATATATATATATTTTAATCTAATTATTTTTAAAATAATCTCATGCTTTTTGGGGACCTGAGTCATGATTTTTGAAAGCTACAGGTCTGCAATACTGCAAGAGCGTTCCTCTTCATTTTTTATGCACTGTTTTATTTGTCATTTTACAAAGAAACACACAGTATTTGAGTTAATCTGACTGAATTGGGTAAAGGAGGCTCAGGATTTTTAATTTCCTGCAGGCCCATGACATTTTTTGTGGCATGAAACAAAGATAGATCTCTCTAAATTTAACAACATGGTATCCAAATAATCTAAAAAATGCACATTTCAAAACCTTAGAGGAACCACAGTGACTTCATTTTGGTTGAGTGAGTTTGTTTAAAGACACAGCATAGTTTGCCCAATAGCATATCACATTTTTAATTGAATCAGTTTCTTGGTATCTGAAATAAAACCATGATTTACAGCTTGTGATTACTGTTTGTAAAATATCCAGATCAAACTGATCTATTCAACATACCTCCAACCCCAGGAAAATAGTGTAACAACTTAATTCTAAATCCAGAAAGTAGTAACACTAGGACTTCTAGAAGCACAGTGTAACACAACTTGAATATTTAACACGTAACTTAAGAAGTTATTCTGGAAAAAATTGGAATGTATTAATAATTTCTTATATCATGTGCTCCAGTGAGAAAGTATATTTAAACTATGTAAAAAAGGAATTAAATACTATCTTACCTCATAGTTTTTCAGATTATCACTTGCTACAGGAAGACCCATGTAACGCTCTGTATATATTGAATCTGTAATATTAAAAGTGTGAATACAATATAGTAGAAGCCTTCTACTTTCATAAGTGCTTTTGTCTACCTGAGAGTCCACATGTTGTGTTACTCACAGACATAAGGTATGCATTACCATTTTGGAAAGAGTCACCATTTTCCCTAATGAGCTTCACAGGGTATCCATAATCATTAGGAATATTTAATGCTGCTGTTGCCATGGACACCTGAATGCTGAATATTAATATACACCTTGTGTCAATGTTACATTATTGTTACTCTTTCAGTCATCTTAAAGAAACTGCGGAGACTCTAGCATCTACTGACTGGTTTCTGAAAATCATCCAGATAAATGGTCTCAGGTATTTAGAATTTAATGATATTAAGAAAGGAAACTGCCAAAACTGGATTATTCCCTGATGACTGAATTGGACCTTATTTGCTTTATCTTTACATTTATATTCAGTATCTCAGGTCTTCTCAGAGATTTTTAAGTATGTTGTCTGATTTTTTTTTAATTGTCAGATTTGCTGCCTTTTTCTATACTAAAATCCACAAATTGAGGTACAATAAACACATTTCAATCTCTGTTTAACTATTGGTTACTACAAGTGTCATAGAGAACCACCTACATTTGATTTGCCTTTTTAATTCCACTGTGTCTTTTTTACTGATCTAGTAAATTACAGTCTGGAATTTTAGTGTTTTTCTGATTGTCACCGAAAATAAAATCTTTGCATAGGATTCCTGCTACATTGGATTATCTGCCCTAAAAGGTCATGACAATTTGAGTACAGCAACTACAGGTAACTGAAAGCTGCAAAATAAAATAAATAATAATAATAAATAAAACTTTCTGAACTAGAGGATGTATTTTTAAATGACCATTACATAACAAATGAGGGGAATAATCTGATGTGTGTCTCATTATGCTGCACATTCTAATGGCTACAATTACTCTGCAATTACTCACCACACAAGTTCATCATTTACATATAGTGGACTCCGATATGGGCTTTTGCAAATCACTAACATTAAACATCTTTTCTGAAGGTACTGAAAGCCAACATTTTTCTAAACCAATGTCACCAAAAGGGGTATTTAATCCCAAAGAATTCAACAGCACAGAGCCTAATATTTCTTGGCTATTTGACCTTAGTTTATGCAACTTTCCGCTTATGTTGTTTGACAAACATGCAGTAGCTTTAAAAGTTTAGTGTCAAAGGTTCTCAGTAATGAAGCTTGCATACAGTAGTAACCACAAGCTGAACATTCTAATTATTAAAGTAAAGCATTTTAAGTGACTACTGTGCTGGTCTAGTCTTGTTTCATAAAAAATGAATAACCCACCCTATCCTATCCCAAGTTAAACATAGAGAAAGATATTTAAATAGCTCCCTTGCGTATTAGCTAGGAAACTTATAGGACCAGATCCAACTCAGTGTAAGACTCCCCATCTTAGCTCAAGGCTACAATCTTGACATTGCTCCTTCTAACAAACAAGCTCCTACAGGCAATTATAATCTTTTGTTTTACATTATACATATAAAAAATTTATAAATAAGTCTTTTGTAAGAATAAATAGAACCTTGCAATAATCTGTTTTCAATCCTGCCACATTTTTCATGTGACAGCATTAAAGGACCAATCACGAACAAATCAATGTACTAAGTGAGACTAAGATGGGAGTGTTCCCTTTACTACCATAAAAAGAACAGGAGTACTTGTGGCACCACATGAAAGCTTATGCTCTAATAAATTTGTTAGTCTCTGAGGTGCCACAAGTACTCCTGTTCTTTTTGCGGATATAGACTAACACGGTTGCTACTCTGAAACCTTTTACTACCATGTAAACACAGAAACTGTTTTTTGTTTGGCCCTACAATGAGTTATATGTGTACAGAGATTTTATTTTCCAGACATCCAGTCTCTTGATGGATTTTCTTCAGAGAATTAACTAGAATTATAAAATCTGAATTTTAAACTTAATGAAATAATTTTGATGCAATTCACATCTGTGGCTTAAAAATACTCAATGTCCCTTTAAGAGATAAATTTACAAACACAAATGTTATTATTCTTCCTATAGTTCAATCTTGTAACCAAAGTAGTAATTTAAAGAAACAAGTACCAATAATAATGAATTTTATAACACTCAGTAATGATCTCTCAACACTTTAGAACACATGGCAGTTTATGAATTCAAATGCAGACATTTACATTATAGTAATATTGCAAATATTACAGTAATTCTGTGCTTTATAAAGGTTAAACAGATTATCTTAAATTTAGGATCTGACTTTTTAAATGAAAAACAGAATTTGGAGAGATTGTGTAATACTGAACAACAGCTCACCAAAACAGACCAAATGGCATTTATGAGAGATCATCCAGTTAATATACAATCAAAGTATTATACAATCAAAGAATCAATTCTCCGCAGCCTCTATGCTGCAAATCATATGAGAATATTTGTAACTGAGAAGACATCACATACCATAATATTGCCAGCGTGACACAGGGGCTACAGCTATTCCACACTTGAACACTTTACTTCCAGATCCAAGCACCATGGAGGTCACGTACCCCCCATAAGACTGAGAAGAAAACAATACAGTTATTTTAAGGGGTCCATCTGCTCCACTACTTTTGACACCTGTTTTTTATATTAAGACCTCCATCACGATTTTGGTACTCCCTCTGGAGCAGGAAGATCAAGAATCAAGTTTATGACTTGGGGAGTGACAATCTCCATTTCAGTCTGCTCCAGGGCAAGGCAACAACGCATTACCCTTTACTATGGGCAGATGTGAAATTCACAAACTAGCCCACTACACAGATGTTTAAGTACCTGATATGCAGAAGCAAGCAGGCAGCATAATATCAAAAAGGTGTTACTTGCTGCCATAAGCAATTGCACTCAACAGTTTAGAGGCCAGTTTTGAAAATTTCCTCTTAACATTTAAAGAGAAGTAATTTTAGGAACTTATCCTTACCTTGCAATGGGATAACGATGGACTAACCCTCAAGCAGCTGCAGAGTCTAGGGACTTCAATGACATTCATACGCTTAGGGATCAGCACTCATGGAAGCTACTGCAGGATTGGGCCCATCAGTCCCAGTATGGCAAAGCACTTATACATGTTTAAGTTCAAGCACACAAGCAGTCCCACTGAAATCAATGGGGCTATCAATGCGTGGGATAGTGACTGACCAGTAACTGGAAGTTCTGCGAGAAGCGTGGTCCCTATCTGCATTCCACCATGTGCCCACAGCTGGAGAGTTGAAAGTAGTGTCCATTAGTCCATGCATGCACCCTGGTTCATCTCATACCTCTGTCTGAGGGGATAAACAGCAGGGCAGTTCCTTCTCTACTGTAAATCAGAGAAGATCCAAAGCAGAGGGGAAGGAGGACAAGTAGTGGAATACAGACAGGGACCACAGTTACAGGTCAGTAACGTCCCCTTCTTCTTCAAATGATGGTCCCTACTGTAGTCCACTGAGGGTGACTGAGAAGCAGTACCTAAGTAGGATTAGTGGAGGACCACCATCCCAAAGGAGGCATCAGCAGAGAAGTCCTGCACCAGGACAGAATGTCTTGCGAATGTGTGAATGGAGCCCCACATGTCCACCGAAGGGCATCTCCTGAAGTGATGCCATAGTTGTTGCTTGTGCTCCAGTAGAATAAACTCTCACTCCATGGGGGGAGGGGTGATAGAGTAGAATGCAGCCAGAGAGCCATTTGGAGATTACCTGGGTAGAAATGGCATGCCCCCTGACTCTTTCTGCGATAGCGATGAAAAGTCTCAAGGATTTCCTGATTGATTTTGTTCTTTACAGGTAAAAGGCCAAGGCCTGCCAAACACAGAAGGAGCGGAGTCTTCATTCTCCTAAGGAATCATGTGGTTTTGGGAGGAACAAAGGTAAGTGAATTGATTGGTTAAGGTGAAATTCTGAAACTACAATGGGGGTGAATTTGGGGTGTATATGCAAAGTAACCTTATCCTTATGGAATATACTGTAAGGAGGATCTGCCATCATCGCTGCAAGCTTACCAACCCTTCTAGCTGAGGTGAGGGCTTTGAGGAAAGGAGAGACATGGAGCAAGAAGCTAAAGGTTCAGAGGGGGGCCTTGTGATTACTGAGAACAAGGTTCAGGTCCCTCTGGGGAGGAGGCTTCTGAATAGGTAGGAAGATTCTGATTAGGCCTTCCCAGAATCTAGTGGTCAGGGGATGTGGGAAGATGGAGTAGAAGGTGGATGGTATGCACTGACTGTCCCCAAATGGACTCACAAGGAGCTGATGGACAGGCCTGATGTCTTCAGAGAGAGGATGTAGTCCAAGATGAGAAGACTATCTGCAGTTTCTAAAAGAATGCTCCTTTGATGTACTCAAAAAGAAAAGCGTCTCCATTTAGTGAGATAACATCTTCCAGCAGAGGATGTCTCGCATGGTCGTGGAGCATGAGCATTCTAAGAATGATGCTCATCTAAATACCAAGCCTGGAGGAGGAGCAGATGCAGACCGGGGTGCTTGATCTTGCCGTTCCCCTGAGTCAGGAGCTCACTGGGAGTATGATCAGTAGTCAGAATGACATGCATAGGAGTTGGGAAGCCAAAATTGTCCACGTCAATAAGGGGTGATCCGGATGACTCATGCCCCGTCCAGCCGGATTTTGCATAGAACTCCTGACAGGAGGGGTAGTGGAGGGAAGGTATGGCTGAACTGGTCTGTCCAAGGAAGAAGCAGAACATTGGCCTGGGAGTGGTGACCTAGGGCTCCTGTGTAGCAATAAGTGATACATCTCCTGTTCCTTTGAGAGGTGAACAGAACCCTGCATAATATCAAATCATTGTGCTCCTACTCATGTCAACTGTAAAACGTTTGCTGAGAGAGTCTACAAGCACATTCTGCTTCCCCACAGGTAAGCTGCTGATAGGGTGTTCAACTGCTGACACAACAACTCCACATGCTGACTTCTTCTGCACACAGGGAGATGAATCTCACTCTTCCCTGCGTGTTGATGTAGAAGACAGTCGTAACCTTGTCTGGCATTATAAGGACATGGTGAGTGTGGATGAATGGAAGTAAGGACTTGCATAGCTTCTGGACTACTTGCAACTCCAGGACACTGAGGTGCATCTTGGAATCTTGAGATGTCCGGGTATCTTATTCTGTGCAGCTGTTCAAGTGGGCTCCCCAACCGAACAGCGATGCATCTGTAATAATGATCCTATCAGAGAGGAAGGAAGAAAGAAGACGCCCACGCATACCCAATGAGGATTTGTTCACCATAATAGGGAAGACACTACCTTGGCAGGAAATGTTACCATAAGGTTTATGGGATAGCAGTTTGGAGAATACATCAACTGCAGCCACATTTGAAAGCAATGAAAGTGGAGTCTTATGAATAGGGTGATGTAGGTCCATGAGGCCAAGAGAGACAGAAAGGTCTTGACCGATACTCTAGGGTTGCCTTCGATCTGCACTATGATATTGTTCACAGTCACTGTCCCTGGGCAAATATGCTTTTACGGTGATAGAATTCAAGGTGACCCCGAAGAAGTCCAGAGATTGCGTGGGGGTGGGACTAGATTTTTCAGGATTTACACTGACTCCCAGTGAGGAGAGGAGATGCAGCATTACAGAAGCTGACTCATATGTTTCCTGGAGGGACTTGGTGACAAGTAGCCAGGCGTCGAGACAGAGGAAGTGCTAAGGGGTGGACTAGGCCCTGAAACCCCCGGCTGGAGGCCTTGTGGCCCTGCCACACCCCACCCCAGAACAGGGCAGTAGAGTGGCCAACCTGCCTAGAGTGGCTGTGTGAGGAGCAGCCAATCAGGGCCCAGCCAGTCATTACAAGAAGACCTGCAGGGCCAGAGCAAGTTCAGTTCTTTGCTAGAGTTGGAGGAGAGTGGATGGTGCTCTAGACTGGCTGCTGGGACTCCATGAGGACAAGGCTATGAGATAAGGGTGAAGAATGTGCAAGAGCCATAAGGAAGTGGCCCAGGGAATTATAGCAGTAACACAGTTTATTTAAAGGGACATTGTGAACGGCTGCTATCTATAGGGTCCCTGGGCTGGGACCCACAGTAGAGGGCGGACCTGGGTCCTTGCCCCCGCCAGCCACTGGGAAAGTAGCCTGGACTTTGAGGCACCCCAGAAGGGGAACTGAACTGTAGTGGCCCAGCTGAAGAGCTGGGGGGCCAGAAAGGCCCTGAGAGGACAAAGATACTGCCTCCAGGGAAGGAGCCATGGGGCAATGCTCTATTCCGGAGCAGGGACAAACAGAGAGACATTACAGAGGGCTCTGAGAGAGGCCCCTGTTGGACTTGTACCCCGAAAGGGGCTTGCGTTGCTTTTATCTCACAGACTGTGCATGACTTGGCCAGAGGGCTGAGTCACTGAAGACCCACCACAAACAGAGAGAGAGTGCAGGCACACGCACTCAACCAGGTAGCACTCGCAAGAGGTGAGTGCGACCTCGTTACAGGAAGATAATGAGATCACCATGTCTGACATGAGCTGCTACAACCAAGAATATCTTGGTAAGGACTCTGGGGGCGGTCACTATTCCAAAAGGGAGCATTCTGTACTGAAAATGGTCGGATTCCATCATGAATATAAGGAACTGTCTGTCAATGGGATGAATGTCTAAATGAAAAAACAGGCATCCTTCACGCTGAGAGCCATAAACCAAATGTCCTTTTCTAAAGACGGGATTATAGATGCCAAGGTGACCATGCGAAATTTGATTTGCGAATGAAGTACTTGAGATGGCGGAAGTAGAGGAGTGATCGTCAACTGTCCTTCTTTTGCAATACCAGGAGATAAGTTGAGTAAAACCTCAAACCTGGTAAAACCTGGTATTGAGGACGGATGTGTTCTACTGCTCCTCACTGCAATAAGGGGTTGCTCAAGAATACCCTCATGAGTGGCCTCCAAGGATGTGTGGGGAGGAGAATTTTGGAGGAGGTAGGTATGCAAACTCTATCATATAGCCAGATTGGATTATGTTCAGCACCCACTTGACTGTGCAGGTCTTTTGCGCGCCAGAGGGACCATCACTCAAAGAATTACAATTTAGGCATGTGCTTTAAAAATTTCCTGAGGCAAGGCCTTAGTGAAGAGCTGCCAATTTGATAGCTCTGTAAATTGAGGTATCCCTTTCGTCCATAGGACATGTTCAGAAGCAGCATCAGTGCAGACTTCATCACATTATGTAGCTATTGTGTAGAGTAAAAGATAACAGCTAAGTCTTTATAATTACCTAATAGAGATTCATCAGCCAAAGTAATCTGAATACTCACCCAGCCCCAAATAGCTATTCTGTTCTTATCGACAAAGCTCATTTCAGAAAATTTTCTAAATGCAAACAAAAATCAAACACTCACTAGATTGCAGAGATTTTAGAGTAGTAGTAATCACATGGAATTCCCTGTTTTCTGACATGCTGACATTTTAACTCACACAGCTAGGGCTGGACTATTTGGGCCAGTGATTGCTTGAGACAAAATGTAATGTTTCACCTTTTTCTGAACTTCATAAAATCTGGGGATTTTGAAGGTTTTTGTGTGTGTAACTGACAGAAAACAAAACCTGGCGGCTTTGTAAAAAAAAATGCTCAGCTCAGATTTAGCCTAGATGATTTTTTGGTATGATATTGGCAGCCCCCAAGATATGAAATGGTAAGAGCCAGGGATTACATCTGGTCCTTACAGGAGAGATGAGGGCTGAAAAACAATCCCTGAAACTCAAGTCAGGTAAATTCCTTTTCAACACTGAAGTTTACCTCTCAGTGATACTGGTGCAATCTCACTGACTTCATTTACTTCAACTAGGTCCACCAGTATAAGCTGAATGGTGAATAGGACTACAGGTGAAAATGCTGATTAGCTCAGCAGATACAAACAGAAGTCAGTCTTGATGAATTGAACACAATAATTTGTTTTAAAATATAGTCTGCTTTTTGTGCTCCCTATCAAAAAGTCCTTGGTCATCAGTCAACAGTTAAATATTAGTAAGGTAATGATTAGGAGATGGTATATAATAAACATACACATTTTGAAAATTGCACCGTGACTACTAGCACAGAGTCACAAAAGAAAGTTTGTGGACAAGTCCAAAGTAGAACTTGGGTCTCTTGACTCCAAGTCATATGCTACAGTGACAAGATTATCCTCTCTCTCTTTTATAATATTACCACTAGAATAAAGTTTTTGCTGATGAAGCAGAGCCTCCCCTCACTGTACATCATGATGTTCCTTGTTTTATTTATATACTAATTAAACATGTACTACTTAAACATGACTACGGCTCAGCATATAGAATTAAACAGTATTTAGCCAGTTTTTTGGTACAAATTTCAGTGTAACTATTTGACAAATCTATTTCTGCCTTTCTCCCCCCTGATTTTTATGAGTTGTTTATTGAATAGAAAGAAGAGTGCCTTGGTTTATCACTCTTAAAACTTCAACAGTTGAGACATCAAGCGTTATAATAGTTAATGAAACAGTTCTGTGTGCTTACCTAGCTGCTGAGATTTGATCCTCTACTTCATATGTTCCCAATCTTCGATTTACTGCATGCATAATTTCGTCTCCTTGGTAGCCACTTCCTCTGCCATCAAAGCTAGCCACAATGATCTGTTCTGTGCTTGCAAGGTATGTAGCCCAATTGATACGGAAAGCATAATCTACTTTCTGACTGCAGGGCCCTGCATAGCTGTGAAAGAATCCCAAAGGAGTAAAACATCTGCTGTTCATTTATTCTCTCATAAAGAATATGTGATACAGTTATTGCTGAAAATCAAACAGGCAAACTTAAAAACTAAACTGAGCATCAGAAATGTGTGAAACCCATCCACTGCTTACCCAAACCCCTGCTTTTACTGGGTAAGAGCAGCAATCTTAGTGGAATTATTCACATGAATAAGCACTGCAGAACCTGGCCCTTCTTTAGGAGGAATTCAATTGCTTTGCACTGTAGTAACAACCATGAGATGATTTCAATAGGGGATCAAGAATCCTAAGCAAAGTCCCTCTCTCTTTGTTTTGTCTCTTTGTTTCAAATTGATGCTATTGTTTAACCGAATGAATCTATTTCTGGTGCTCTGTTTAATTATTATTCATTATTTGTCTCATTAAAATGTTAAATCAACAGTAAACAGCCTTCACTTGTGAAAATACAAAACAAAAACCCCATGTTATTTCATCACACTTTCAGTGACTCATCAGTGAAATTTAAAAACAAAAAAACCACCCTACAGACTAATCAAACTATTTCTCATGGAGGCTTGGAAGGAAGAAATGAGAAGTGATTGTTATTGTACTTTGTTTTTTAACTACTTTGGAGGCACTCAGATATTATGGACATGGGGCTGCATAAGTACTCAAACAGATACGGTTAGATTAGCTAGATCAGCAAGTATCATCTTTACTAATCTAGCATTCTGTTTCTGAAGAATTCATTGTGTGCTGTCTTGTTTATTCTTAATGGGAGACCTTACATGAGTAGGACCTGCAAGACTGGGCCCCAAAATAACCAACTCTATTTCCCTTTTGGGGAAAAAGGAGGAGCCTTTTTAAAAGGGAAAATAGGCATTAACAGAAAAAAATCTGAACAATAAAAGGACTCGTTATCTACCTCCTATGTCTATGCACGTCACTTTCAAAACTGATCCATACATATGTCAGAACATCAAGAGGCCCTTTTAACAAGTGAAGGGGGTTTACTGTTCATTACAACTATAAGTAGGCAAATAATGAATAATTCTATCCAATGCTATTAAATAAAGAAAAAGAGGTCACTGAGTTCTGTGTTGAGAGGAAAACAATGTAACTCCTGAATTATGCTATTCTCCTTGTGGAGCCAGTTTTCAGTAAATATGGAAGTTAGTTAGCCATTTCTATGCATAGCCAATTTCAGTCAGTCATTCTCATTAAAGAAAAAATAATTAATGAAAATACATTAGTATGAGCAGAAGAGAGTGAGGAAGAAAAGGAACAAAGAAAATATATTCAAGGTCCAGTGAATGTGTCTTCTTTTTTGTGCTTATGAATTCCTTGGCCTGATTTCTCTGTTAATATGAAGATTATCACATACCTGTACAATACAGTACAGTTCTCTTACATAAACCTAACCTACCTGAAGAGCAAATTTCTTTTCTGGGTTTTGGAACCAGGAAAAGTTAGACAAATTTGTCACTTAGCCACGGTTTTCTAGTCAGTTGCCTCTAATATGTATTATTGGTCCAACTGAAAGCCTGCTGAAGTCAATTGGATTCTATCCATTGACTTCAATGGGTTTTGGGTCAGGCTGCAAAAGGACTATGGTCAGCTGTTTTCAGAACAATCTGGAAACAGGGCCTGGTCCTCAAAGATAAAGGGGAACTCTTGTGTGCCCTGAACTCCTATTGACTTCAGTGGGAGCTGAGGATGCTCAGCACCTCATGGAAAGGGCACAGAATCTTAGAGGATTATGCCTGAAGAGTATCCAGGGCCATAAGCAATAGATACCCTTGTTAAACCTTGCAGCATCTGACAGTCCACATGCTTAGGAGGTCCACTGTAGAACAAACCACATGACAATCTACAGAAAACTGGTATTCACAATGGCTTCTCTGTCTCTTAAACCCACTTTTAAAGGTAATTAGAGGCCAGTTATGTGTTTTCTGAAGTTATTAGAAGTCTTTGAAGGAAATGAAAGTGATTACGTTGCTAATGTACTTGAAGACTTACACATCAAGGAGCAGAGGGTACTTCTTCGATGAAGCAAAATGGGGAGGTAAGATCATCTGATACCACAATGCTAAAAGTAAAAAAAATAAGTTTGATTTGTATTAGTCGTGCTATGGAATAACTAACATACAGCCGCACTGTTCACATAATCAGTAAAGTATGTTTGAGTCATCCATTAATTTTTTAAAAATTGTACAAAAAACTTTATTTTATTCAAAAATGCCCTAAAACAAATTAGTCTAGATTTAGATTTACTAGGTTAATTAGAAATCTTGACTCATAATGTCTTCATGGTTTAAAAGTAAGTCACTGGAAATTCTGAAGCTGGTAGTTACAATTTTTTAAAAAAAATTATCAGTATGTTTTCTGTAGTTAAGAGTCTACATTTAATGTGGAAATCTTCACAAAGTGGCGTGCTGCCAGTCTGATATCAGCTAAGAAAATGCTTTTCTAGTCAACTTTCTAGCTCCCATGTCCCAAATGAGAGAGAAAATTGAGTGGAAATTATGAACTTCCCAGGTAAGTGTGGAACAACGAACTCCGTTCAATGGTCTATGAACAAAATCTAAGAAATGTGTTTTATTATATTTACATCATGGGGAATAGCAATATAATTCTATGCTTTTCCTCTCACAACTGTGATGGAAGAGCTGGGCTGATATGAGTTAACCAATCATATTAAGTGCAGACTGTGAAGGATATAGGGAGTTCTGCAGACTTAGTGGTTTGCTTGTTCACTGAAGGATTTTACTGGAATGGATGTTGCACACAGAGTGTAATGAGTGTTATAGGAATGTGTTGTGTTCTAATGGTTAGAGTCCAAGTGTTTCAGGAGTTTGTAGAGTTCAGACTACACATGATGTTAAAATATAAAGGTGCTAAGTGAGACATACAAAAATTAAGACTCTGGGTCATATGCTGTTGAAAGTGTTTTTCCTCTGTGCTCTGTAGATATAGGTATACGCATCTTCATTGAGATGTACAAGACACATGGATTGAAGAGGATATTTGGATCTGAAGTTTAAATTAGTGGGATTTTTTTTTCTGTCCAGTACTAAACAAAGAAAGAAGAGGAAATTCCCCTTACCCAACAGCTTCTACCCAGAAGAGATGAAGTAGTAAGAGGAAGAAGGAATAAAAAGATGAACACACAACTGATAGCATGAAGATTATCTTTAAACCTCCATCTTCCCTGGTAGTTTCCATCTTTAACCCTACTAAAAGTGTCACTAGAAATAAAAGACAGAAACACAAAGATAAAGGAGAGCTATAATATTAATGAGATAACAGTGGGAGGAGGGAGGTATCAAAAAAGTGCAACAAAGTTTGTAAAACTTGATTCCTGTAAGAATGATCATTTTGTTGAACAGAGTGAATGTGTGTCACAAAAAACAGGCTGACACTAGAAGTTGGAATCAAGAATAGTCCGGGAAGGCACTGTGCATACTTCTCATAGCCTATCAATGTTCCTCAACCAAGTATCAATTCAAGGCAAGACTCCAAGGAAACTTAAGAGGCCATGAGCCAAACCAACTGGTTTGGGTTCCTTGACACCATGCAAATCCAAACCAGCAAGATTCATAAAGCATTAGTGGTGAATTCACCTACTGGGCAATTTAGCCCCATATCTAACATCTATAATAGCCACTTAAAACAAATTCTTTAAGCACTAACACATTGTTATATTGTTATTCAGAAAACCCGGAGTCAGTAGAATATTCAGGCATACACATACTTTTAAGCATGTGAGTCATTCCACTGACTTCAATTGGACTAATCACATATTGAAGTTACACACATGCTTACGTGCTTTGCTGAATTGGGGGCCTTAATAACCCAAAAAAGTTTTCTAGAAATTTAGATCCTGCATCTATTTTTGAATAATCATAGTACCACTCCAGCATGATCTCTGTCTTCAAACACAAGCCACCCACATTAAATGTGCCTTTAAATTAACATAAATGAGTAATCTCTTTAAACCAATTAAAATTCTACTATGAGCTTTCTGGCGTAGCAGCACTTTTATCCTTTAATTTTGACTCTTCACCCCACCACATATATTAGCAACTAAAGAGCAGTCATCCACAACATCATCAAGAAGAAAGCACAATGATACACACTCTACAAAAGAAATTTGTCAAGGGTAGCAGCTGGTTTTATTCTGTGTAATTTCAATGGTGCTGTCATTTCACTATTTACACACACACTCTCTCTCTTTCTCTCTCTCAAAACTAAAAGTTTTAAGAACCAAAATAAATACAGCTTTAGTCTTCAATTAGAATATATTTAAGAAAGTTTCTAGCCCGGGATTTTTAAAATGTACTGCATCTTTCCTAAAAATGGTAAAGAATTAAGACATATTTTTAACTTACTGTATCCATTCAGACTAATGTTGTCAACTCTTTTGGAAGGCATTTGAATATCCTTCAACATATTGTCCAAATCTGTGTTGTTTTCCAAAATTCTGATGACTAAATAACAAGGTGGATAAAAATGTATTTAATTTAAATTTAAAAAATCATTCATTTTTCCTTTTTAAAAATAAACCTGTTTAAAATTCAATTTGAAATTGACAAGCTACATTAGGACCGAAATTTACTATAATCTATTCAAATAATTTAAATAAATAAAAATATGCTGAATCATTGAGCCCTCTTCAAATTCTAATGAGTTACAGGTTGCTATTTTTTAAAAAAGTTATATACACAATTGGGGGAAGACGCTTCAACTTTTGAGGTCAACTCAATTTCCTGTAAATTAAATATTCATATTATTTTCAGTCTTTTTAATAGAGCAAATGCTGGTATTTATATTTTTCTACATTTAAGCACTTTCAGTTTCTGTTGTTCAGAAGAACTTTTGCATACTGGGATTTTCAAAAGCACCTGTACAGATTCACACCCAGCTTCCATTGATTTCAATGGGAGTTGTGTGTTGTGCTTAGGTGCTTTTGAAAATCTCACTAGGGGTTAGATTCATAAAGGAGATTTAGGCTGAACATCGCAGTGCCTAACATGTAGGCGCCCTGCCACCAGGTGGAATTCACAGCTCTGAGTTAGGTGGCCAAGCTCGCTGTACAATGCATGGGGAGAGTTAGGTGCCTAAGAATGAGATTCACAGAAGCCAGCAAGCTGAGTGGAGAACTGCCCGAGCTAACCAATAGGAAATGCCAAAGAGAGGGGTGAGGCCCAATCCCTGCCCTCAGAGGGAACTAGATGGCTAAATCTCAGCCAGATGGATGTCCTTCTTTTTGTTTGGGATTCAAAGCTGAGAGCCCTCTCATGGAGTTAGGTGTCTAAGTCAGGCCTGGGGTTTGAGCACTTCTGGGGTGCTCAGGAAGCTGGCACCTGTGCCTTCAACAGCAGAGTTTGAGATCTGCCCCAGAACACTGCATAAGCCAGTAGTTATGGCATAGCTGCATCAGGCAGAATGGAGATTCAAACTCAGGTCTCCCATATCCTGCGTGAGTGCTCTGACCATTGGGCTAGTGTTTAGTGTCTGGCTGTATTATGTGCACGGCCCAATTCGGTAGATATGCTTTAAGGTGGATTCTGAGCACATCCATCAGATCCGCACCTTCAGGTGAGATAGGTGGGGGAGTGCCTAGCTTGTGACTTCAACCAAGGCTTAGGTGTGAGTTAGGCACCAAACAGTTCAGTGGTTTCAGGACTGATGCAGCTATGGACATGCCCAGTGGCAGAAATTTAGGTACATAGGGGACTTAACCAGTGGAAATGTAGCTGCCTCCACAGTTAGGTGGCAATTAAGCAGGGGCTTTGTGGATCTAAATTGTGGATTTAGATGTCTAAAGTGACACGCACCTAAGTCCTCATAGAATCATAGAATATCAGGGTTGGAAGGGACCCCAGAAGGTCATCTAGTCCAACCCCCTGCTCAAAGCAGGACCAATTCCCAGTTAAATCCTACTTGTGAATCTAGCCCTATACATCCATCTGCATCTTTAGGTGCCTAATTACCTTTGAAAATCTGGCCCCTTGTGCTTCAAGGTTTTATAGCATTAGTAGATCTCATCTTTTCTCACCTGCTTTTTATTAATGGATTGGAAAAGGAAAACAAACTTTCCTGCTTTTTTTCCCAACACCCGATCAGTTTCTCAACTTTGAATGAACTAGTCCAAATGAAGATTATATTGTCTGTGCACCTGCTAGTTAAACTGACACCAAAAGTAATAAAGCATACTGGGATTTTCAAAAGCACCTGAACAGATTCACACCCAGCCCCTTTAGGTACCTATCTGCACCTTTAGGCACCCAACTACTTTTGAAAATCTGGCTTATGGTGACCAGAAACAACCCATAAATTCCCTAACTGCAGTTAATATGTCCTTTGTTTAATAAATCAGTTTGAAATGCAAAACATGGTATAAACCTGCTTTTGTTCCTTATGTATCCAACACATGTAAGGTAACTTTATTTGTAGAAAAACAACTTATTAGGGTTGGTTTTGTACACTTTTAACTGAATTCCAGTTTCCATCCAAATGCACCTTGGCAGAAATCATGAGTAAAATTTTACCTAGTGAACAAGAAATGCATCATTCACTATTTTCTAACATAATAAAAATGTGAAAATTAAGAATATGAACAAAATGTTGAGCTATATAATTACTTATATATAGTATATCCTCCTTGTTAGCAAAAAGTAGTATCAAATTTATTGTGATGGCTACAGTTAGTTGCAAATCAATATCATTTAATGGTTATACCAACCAATGAGAATGAACCTTGCTTTAGGAAAATAACTAAAAAGTAAAAAGCAAGAGTAAAATTTATTATTTAAATCAAGTTTTCTTGCTCGCTGATTTAAATCAATGCTGAAAAATCAATACACCTTGTTAAAACAACAACAGAAATAAATGGCAAGTCTGATTACTGAATTCCAGTGCATTTTATCTCGTTCTACTGGGAAAAGCTTAGAGTTAGCCAGGACACAATTGACTGTCAAAATTAGGTTTCAGAGTAGCAGCCGTGTTAGTCTGTATCCGCAAAAAGAAAAGGAGTACTTGTGGCACCTTAGAGACTAGGTGACACAAGTACTCCTTTTCTTTTTGTCAAAAATTAAAATACCCTAAGACTAAGGATACCCCATATCTACTACACACGCAGACACACATTGCAACTGAAAATAGAGAAGATCAAATACCATGATCATCACTACTTCTGGACAGCACAGAAGTGGGCAGGCCGGGACCTGTTGACACAAGAAAAGAACATCTGTGTTTTAGTTGAATGCCTTTTTAAACGTGATCCTGTAACACTAACTAGGAGAGTGTGATTCCCAGAATGTTCAGCTTGGGAAAGTATCTGAATTTTTTAAGAACCATCACTGAGACCCCAAAAGTCTCCCCAAAGGCCCTCCACCTACTTTCCACAGAAGCCCCAGGTTCCCCCCTCCCTTCCATGTTTGAGAGAGACCCAAAGTGCGAAAGCATTGGCTTAAGATTTCAGCACCTTAAAACAATGTGCAGTTCAGAACTCAGGGGTGATTCAAATGCTTTTTTCCCTGAACTAGCTAATTCGTCCCTATCACTTTCCAGTATGTGTGCCAGTAGGTCAGTGACTCAGGAGGAGAGCTCAGATATTTCTTGGACCCTAAATATTGGACACTAAATATTTCTTGGACTTTTTTTTTTAAACAGGCTCACTATCTCTCCCCTTATATTAATCGCACTCACTGAGGATTTCTCTTCCCTAAAATGTAAATCGCTGGCCTTGCTCCCAAAGAAACATCCAAGTCCTTCCACAATATACAGCTCTCTACAGCAGCATCTTCCCTTACAAGTCTCCCTATGGAATTCTGCCACTGATTCTCCTTGAACCACCAGTCATCAAAGAAGGCAAGAATCTATTTTCCTCACTCCACTTCTGGAGTGAGAGTGTCACTTCTATGATACTTTAGGGCATTAAAGTGTTCAGAATTGAAGAGAGGGGGCTGTAGTAGCTCATTCTTCGAGATAAGCCGTCAGCACTGGCACATGCCACTGACCCTAATCTGTTGTCCTTCTGAGCATGCTGCAAGATGCATCTGTTTGCACAGGCAGCTTCAGAGATAGGTCTTGCTGGGGGTTAGATCTGCATGGGAGAGGGGAATTGTATCTTTTCTTGGGGAGTTGAGTTCTGCTGACTGTTGGGGTAAGCTATCATTCCATTTTATTTTTATTCTTATAATTTGAGTGACAGGTGCTTCGAGCCTAGGACAGGCAGTTGTTAATTACTGCATAAATCCAAAGAAACAACAATGAACACATAGCATTGTTCTTTAGCACGTACCACAGACATCGTGGTTGAACCCCTCCTAATTAAATACTGAGTCACATCCGCATCTACTAGTTTGGGTTATACTCACCATAACAATTCAGCAGATAATATTGTGCATCGCTGCTGAAGGATGCAGAATAATACTGACATCTCTCTTTGTCCAGATCACAGCTCACGCACTTAGGTGTGGTTGGACCATTTCCAGCTGACACTCTGCAAAGTGATGGAAAGTTTCATTTAAAAGGTAAATGACATTTCTGAAAATGTCCATTCAGTCACCACAGTTGTCAGGTGACTAAACAATGCCAGATGGAATTTGTCTATTTTGCATCAGAGATATATCTCTGTACAAACCATGCATAAGCATGTATGTAGAACAGAGCTCCCTAGTAACAATGCATTTCGCATTATGATGTGCTTTTCTTACAAACATGCCATTATATAGGGTATTAAGGTCCAGTCCTGTTCCCACTAAAGTCAACAGCAAAACTCCAGTTGATTGTAATGGCAGCAAAACCAGAAACTAGCACTCCAGAGTTCAGGAAATACTGCAATTTACATCATAATCAAAACTCTAAAATACTAATATTATAATGAGCATTTTTCATCTTCTAAAAGAACTGTTTTATTCTCTGTAACACAACAGCTTGTTTTCCTAAAATATTTTAATTAAATATCCCACACAGCACTGTACACTTTATTTGGGATCAATGGATATTGAATATCTTAATCACTAAACTTGTCTATAACTTTCATTACATTCTTTTCATTTCTAAATTTGGAAATATAATAAGCATCATACTTATAAAGGTTTCTTCCTCCTGGCATTCCACCAAATTCATTACTGAGGTAGTATCTATAAAACAACAGTTGAAGTAAGTTATTTATGGTGTATTTACACAAGACATAAAATGATCATTTAGATATTGCTTAATTACATCTTTATGCATCAAATTTTTATTTAGAGAAGTTAATGTAACTCTGCCTAATGTAGGTAAGTATATGAAATATCCTGTGCTGCTCATATGTATATCTATCCAAACAAACTGTCACTGTATTATTTTTACATATTCAAAGTTGCCAAACTCAAGTAACTTGCTTCACATATTGTGGTATTTCTGCCTGCCATAGCATTCGCAGAGATTAATGCAAATTCAGGGGAAGCAGAGAGAGAAGGCAGACCCTCAACTAGAGAGAACACCTTGTGTTTGGACACAGTAGTTGCAAGGAGTGCTATACACCCTGAATGACAGCACCATATCTTTAGGCGGGTGGGAATTTGTCTGTCTGGCCACAAAGGGAACAGTGCTTTATCGCTGTGGTGGGGGAGTGGGGCCAACTGCTGAAAAAAGGGGACAAGGGGCCTGTGTGGAGACAGTGTATCATCCACTGGGAACCGGACAGACAAAAGGATCGAAAAGGGACAGCCCTATGCGTGAAGCTCCCTTTTACCTGGAGCAGCCTGAGACAGCACCCACCCTCCCTCCCCTTTAGATGGTGAAATACCAGGTTTGGGTAAGACCCGTTATTAGAGGGGCTGGGTGTGACGGTGCACCCCGTAAGGCTTTATGGAAATATGCTTATGAATGTGTGTGTGTGTGTGTGTGTGTATATATATGACATAACTGAAATATGTTTTACGCTACATATGCCATGTAACATATCTGTAAAATGACAGGTTTCAGAGTAGCAGCCATGTTAGTCTGTATCCGCAAAAAGAAAAGGAGTACTTGTGGCACCTTAGAGACTAAAATTTATTTGAGCATAAGCTTTTGTGAGCTACAGCTCACTTCATCAGATGCATTCAGTGGAAAATACAGTGGGGAGATTTATATACACAGAGAACATGAAACAATGGGTGTTACCATACACACTGTAACGAGAGTGATCAGGTAAGGTGAGCTCCTCAGACAGAGACAAACACCTACAAGATCTCTATCAAGTGTTCTTACAACTACAATACCCACCTGCTGAAGTGAAGAAACAGACTGACAGAGCCAGAAGAGTTCCCAGAAGTTACCTACTACAGGACAGGCCCAACAAAGAAAATAACAGAACACCACTAGCCATCACCTTCAGCCCCCAACTAAAACCTCTCCAACGCACCATCAAGGACCTACAACCTATCCTGAAGGATGACCCATCACTCTTACAGATCTTGGGGGACAGGCCAGTCCTTGCTTACAGAGAACCCCCCAACCTGAAGCAAATATTCACCAGCAACCACACACCACCCAACAGAACCACTAACCCAGGAACCTATCCTTGCAACAAAGCCTGTTGCTAACTGTGTCCACATATCTATTCAGGGGACACCATCATAGGGCCTAATCACGTCAGCCACACTATCAGAGGCTCGTTCACCTGCACATCTACCAATGTGATATATGCCATCATGTGCCAGCAATGCCCCTCTGCCATATACATTGGCCAAACTGGACAGTCTCTACGTAAAAGAATAAATGGACACAAATCAGACGTCAAGAATTATAACATTCAAAAACCAGTCAGAGAACACTTCAATCTCTTTGGTCACTCGCTTACAGACCTAAAAGTGGCAATTCTTCAACAAAAACACTTCAAAAACAGACTCCAATGAGAGACTCCTGAATTGGAATTCATTTGCAAACTGGATACAATTAACTTAGGCCTGAAGAAAGACTGGGAGTGGATGAGTCATTACACAAAGTAAAACTATTTCCCCATGTTTATTCCTGCCCCACCCACCCACCCCGCTGTTCCTCAGACGTTCTTGTCAAACTGCTGGAAATGGCCCACCTTGATTATCACTACAAAATGTTTCCCCCCCCTCGGCTCTCCTGCTGGTAATAGCTCACCTTACCTGATCACTCTCGTTATAGTGTGTATGGTAACACCCATTGTTTCATGTTCTCTGTGTATATAAATCTCCCCACTGTATTTTCCACTGAATGTATCCGATGAAGTGAGCTGTAGCTCACGAAAGCTTATGCTCAAATAAATTTGTTAGTCTCTAACATGCCACAAGTACTCCTTTTCTTTTTTGCATACCTGTAAAGGTTATGATCGACTAAATCTATTCATCCTATTTGTATGCATGTATCATTTTTGTATTCGAAGTTATGAATATTGGCTGTGTACTTGCTTGATTTGTCAGCTTCTTGAGAAAGAAATGTGCAAATTAAGTGCCCAATCAAGAAACACTTAACGAACAATGGATCTTGGAAGGCTCCAATCCATTTCAAAAGAATTCCTGGAGACAGTCAAGATAGCATGTGGGCAATGGCCGCTGCCTGTAAAAACTGAGTCATGCATGGACATGTGACTTGCCCCTGTGACTCCAAAACTCCATCTTGGAGCTGGACTTTGCATAGGAGAGAGGAGGGGGTCTCCACCCACAAGAGGGGGTGTATTTAAGCCCGTGGGAGACCCCCATTTGGTCTTCAGCTGGCTCACGAGATAGGCTCTCCACCCCCAAGGATATCTGAAAGAAACTGGAACGAAGGACAGTAACTATAGGGAGTGTGAGTGATTGCTGGACCCAGACTAGAAGGAGACTAGTCTGTACAAGGAAGCTTACTGGAACCTCTGAGGGTGAGGTTTTATCTGTATTCCGTTTTCTTACTGTATTAGGCATAGACTTGCATATTTTGTTTTATTTTGCTTGGTGATTCACTTTGTTCTGTCTGCTATTACTTGGAACCACTTAAATCCTACTTTCTGTATTTAATAAAATCACTTTTTACTTACTAATTAACCCAGAGTATGTATTAATACCGGGGGGGGGGGGCAGCTGTGCATACCTCTATATCAGTGTTATAGAGGGCGAACAATTTATGAGTTTACCCTGTAGAAGCTTTATACAGGATAAAACGGATTTATTTGGGGTTTGGACCCCATTGGGAGTTGGGCATCTGAGTGTTAAAGACAGGAACACTTCTTAAGCTGCTTTCAATTAAGCCTACAGCTGTTAGGGGACGTGGTTCAGACCTGGGTTTGGGTTTGCAGCAGGCTAGCAGGTCTGGCTCAAACCAGGCAGGGCTCTGGAGTCCCAAGCTGCCAGGGCAGGAAAGCAGGGGCAGAAGTAGTCTTGGCACATCAGTAGGCAGCCCCAAGGGGGTTTCTATGATCCAACCCATCACACTGGAAAGGCCATCACGCTGGAAAGGAATTTTTCCCTTACCACCAGATTGGCAAAGGTGGAGTTGGGGTTTTTTTTTTGCCTTCCCCACGGTGGGTTCAGGGAGGGCTTTGCTCATGCTGACTTTGACTCCTGCATGGAATTGATGCGTAGGATCTCCTGGGAGGCTAATATGAGGGGGAAAGGGGTCCAGGAGAACTGGCTGTATTCTAAAAAAGCCTTATTAAGGGTGCAGGAACAAACCATCCCGATGCGCAGAATGAATAGCAAAAATATGGCAGGCGACCAGCTTTGCTTAACAGAGAAATCTTTGGTGAACTTAAACACAAAAGAGAAGCTTACAAGAAGTGGAAACTTGGACAGATGACTAGGGAGGAGTATAAAAATATTGCCTGAGCATGCAGGGGTGCAATCAGGAAGACCAAAGAACAACTGGAATAGCAGCTAGCAAGGGATGTGAAGGGTAAAAAGAAGGGTTTCTACAGGTATGTTAGCAACAAGAAGAAGGTCAGGGAAAGTGTGGGACTCCTACTGAATAGGGGATGCATCCTAGTGACAGATGATGTGGAAAAAGATGAAGTACTCAATGCTTTTTTTGCCTTGGTCTTCACGGACAAAGTCAGCTCCCAGACTGCTGCACTGGGAAGCACTGTATGAGGAGGAGGTAAGCAGCCCTCAGTTGTGAAAGAACAGGTTAAGGACGATTTAGGAAAGCTGGACATGCATAAGTCAATGGGGCCGGATGCAGTGCATCCAAGGGTGCCGAGGGAGTTGGCTGATGTGATTGCAGAGCCATTGGCCATTATCTTTGAAAACTCATGGCAACTGAGGGAGGTGTCGGACGATTGGAAAAAGGCAAATACAGTCCCTATTTTTAAAAAAGGGAAGAAGGAGAATCCGGGGAACTACAGCCTTACCTCAGTCCCTGGAAAAATCCCTGGAAAAATCATGGAGCAGGTCCTCAAGGAAACCATTTTGAAGCACTTGGAGGCGATGATGGTGATCAGGAACAGTCAACATGGATTCACCAAGGGCAAGTCATATCTGACCAACCTGATTGCCTTCTATGATGAGATAACTGGCTCTGTGGATATGGGGAAAGCAGTGGATGTGATATACCTTGACTTTAGCAAAGCTTTTGATACAGTCTCCCACAGTATTCTTGCCAGCAAGTTAAAGTAGTATGGGCTAGATGAATGGATTATAAGGTGGACAGAAAGCTGGCTAGATCGTCAGGCTCAACGGGTAGTGATCAATGGCTCCATGTCTAGTTGGCAGCTGGTATCAAGCAGAGCATCCCAAGGGTTGGTCCTGGGGCCGGTTTTGTTCAATATCTTCATTAATGATCTGGAGGATGGTGTGGACTACACCCTCAGCAAGTTTGCAGATGACACTAAACTGGGAGGAATGGTAAATACGCTGGAGAGTAGGATTAGGATTGAGAGGGACCTAGACAAATTAGAGGACTGAGCCAAAAGAAATCCAATGAGGTTCAACAAAGACAAGTGCAGAGTCCTGCACTTAGGATGGAAGAATCCCATGCACTGCTACAGACTAGGGACCGAATGGCTAGGCAGCAGTTCTGCAGAAAAGGACCGAGGGGTTACAGTGGACGAGAACCTGGATGAGAGTCAACAGTGTGCCCTTGTTGCCAAGAAGGTTAATGGCATTTTGGGCTGTATAAGTAAGGGCATTGCCAGCAGATCGAGAGACGTGATCGTTCCCCTCTATTCAACATAGGTGAGGCCTCATCTTGAGTACTGTGTCCAGTTTTGGGCCCCACACTACAAGAAGGGTGTGGAAAAAATTGGAAAGCATCCAGCAGAGGGCAACAAAAATGATTAGGGAACTGAAACACATGACTTATGAGGAGAGACTGAGGGAACTGGGATTGTTTAGTCTGCAGAAGAGAAGAATGAGGGGGGATTTGATAGCTGGTTTCAATTACCTGAAAGGGGGTTCCAAAGAGGATTGATCTAAACTGTTCTCAGTGGTACCAGATGACAGAACAAGGAGTAATGGTCTCAAGTTGCAGTGGGGGAGGTTTAGGTTGGATATTAGGAAAAACTTTTTCACTAGGAGGGTGGTGAAGCACTGGAATGCATTACCTAGGGAGGTGGTGGAATCTCCTTCCTTTGAGGTTTTTAAGGTCAGGCTTGACAAAGCCCTGGCTGGGATGATTTAGTTGGGGATTGGTCCTGCTTGCAGTTAAATTGCTTTTCTTACAATACTCACATAAAGTCATTGGTTACAGCTTCTATGCTGATTACTTCCCATTTTCCATGTGTAATAGGTATTCTGCTCTAAAAACATGGGGAGGCAAAAAGCAGAAAGGTAAATTCCATGCTGGCC